CCACGGTCAGCTCAATCCCTCGGTATTCACGGCCAAGAACCAGAGACAGTCTCCCTGGCACAAGCCATGTTCAGACAACTTATCAAGATTGAGAGGGAAATTAGCTCTTTGTAACCGGCCATTAGAATTCTGTCGATTGGCGAAAGCAGATATAGATTGACAGGTGTCAAGTTGGCATCTGTTCAGTAGGAGGCTTAGAATTTAATAGGATCTATGCTCGTGCTGTGATACAATTCGGTTTCTGGGACTTCATGCAGACGTATGTAATGCAATACGGCTGCGTTTTTATGTCTCCTTCCTGGCTACATGCATAATACTAAGACACGTGCCTACATGTAATAGATGACCACCAATCACTACTTGATAATCTAGGTAGGTAGGTAGATGACAAGTTAACGTTCGCTTCCAGCGGATGCTGATATCGCAAACTAGGTAGTTGTTGGTAGTCGTAGTTGGTAGTTGGATTGGATCAAATTGGATGATTCGGTGTTGTTGGTTTGGTTGTTGATTCTTCGTTAGATCTGGTCGGGTCGAATGACATGGCGGTGAAACTCGGCCCTGGATGGTGTGGAAATAATCTCACCTCTGATTATCTTAAATAGGTAATCTCCCTTCTTAAGACACATTCAATGATAGGTTATCATCGTTCTATAGTATTTCACTAATCACCTGATTGAGAGTAACCGAGGTTGTCTACATACCCTTGAAGCAGACGTAGATAACAGAGGAAAAAGACATAAAAACGCAGCCGTAATGCATTGCATACGTCTGTATGAAGTCCAAGTGTATGGGTTTATCCTTGTTTACGATAATGAAGATAAATATTCAGCATATTCGAGACAAGCCGATGACCCGAGTGATCGCGTCTGACCATGAGGGGGGGAATTGCTCACAATATCATCAAATATGTATGTATTTCGACTTGATTAAACCGTTTTGTGAATCTTACATTATGAGTTTTCATCGGGTCGAATGGTTCGTTTATCCAAGAAACCGAATTTATATGGTAATTCCCTTCTGAAGACACGTTCAATGATAGGTAATCATCGTCCTATAGTACATTACTGATCACCTCTGATTAAGAGTAAACGAGATTCCCTATACACCCTTGAGGCAGACGTAGATACAAATGAAAAGACAGAAAACGAAGCCTTAGTCCACACCGGGTGGATTGGGCGCTAATTTGACCCCAGGGACTTGGAGAAATACATGAAACCTAATAACCTAATTTAAACTGTCTAGGATCTATGCTCATGCAGCGATACAATTCGGTTTCTTGGACGTATGTAATGCATTACGGCTGAGTTTTTAAGTCTTTTTCCTCTGTTATCTATGTCTGCCTCAAGGGTATATAGAGAACAATAAAAAAGGAAAATCACATTTGATGTTTAGTAGCATTTCTCTAGCATTTAGGGGGCATCGCT